ATTCCTGCTCGAGGCATGTGACATGGGACAAGTAGTGGCCTAAAAATTGCTGCTTAGATGAAGTCCTGAAGGCCCTTCCCTTTAAAAGGGATCCTCAGCAGGGAAGGCTGGGTCATGACCAAGTCAACTAACACCTTGGTGCACTTGCTTGTGAGACTGAGTGTCCTTGGCTGTTGTTTGGATTAAGTTCCCATTCTAGATTATCATGTCATTACACATATTTAAATTTATGTAAAATATATAAAATAATCACACAAATTTGTCATGGAGAGTACTGGCAACGTCTCATGCAGCAAGACAAATCCATTTATCAGAGTGGCAAATGGGACCTAGTTAATTAGTTAACAAAACATTTCAAACTAAAACACTCTGGTTATATAAACTTGGCATTTTGATATTACAGACTAAAACCAGCATGCAGATTTATTGCTGTTAGGCCTGTGTACTGTGTTACTTGGGATGGAAGACTGGAATTTGCATCTCTTCAGCTCTTTCTAGTATGAAAGCAAAGAAGTGCTTAGAGAGCTTAGGAAGTGCTCACAAATTGCTTGCATGTTGGGTATTTGAGCTCAATAAAAACAGGTGCTCAAGCTAACTAGGAGAATCAGCTGGCTAATCTTGTCCTGACCTTATTTTAAATCTTTTCTGCAATACTCTGAAAGAAATAAGGCTTTAAGTAGTTCTTTCAAGAAACAATGTACTTGCCTAACTTACCTTAAAGGCACAGAGAAATGTACATGCACAGACAGAGAGAAAAACCTTTTCTAGAGCTGTGAATGCAGCAACAGGTTAATGATCATGCCAAAGCTCACATCCATTAATATACCAGACACACACAGGTTGCTCCAAAAGTCTTAAAAAACCCACGCAATGAAACGCTGTCAAACAACAGTGTTAGTCACACAATTTTGGAACTGGCAAGCAGGAAAAAAAATCACCTGAGAGCAGAAAGGCTTCAGTCAGTGAGTGGGTGCAGCACCGGAATGATGAATTGGACTAAAAGCAATGAGGGAGATTGACAGAGAAGACAGCAGGAAAACAAACAAACAAACAAAAAACAACAACACAGAACTTAACTTGGTTATATAGAAAAGCATCAGAAAGATTACATAGGCACAAAGAAGAATTGGCCAAAATGAAACAGCCCTTTTTCATTAAATAATGAATGAAGACAAATAGGTATGAATCTTATGAGTAGAATAAAGAGATAAAGAGATTTTAAAAACACCAACAATTAGGTTGATAGTAATAAAAAACCTTCCCAACAGAATCACTTCTAAACTCCCAGTGGACTATGCGGTGTAATTAAGATTCCTTCAGGAAAATGTTTGCATTATGGAAATTCCTGAATTCTGTTGTGGGAACACAGGGATTTTTTTTTCCCCCCATAATATAAGCCTATACAAATCCAATATCATCTTTTTAATTATTTTGAAACCTTCTACTAGTAAAGATTCATCTCCTTTAAATTCATTGGACATGAGAGATTTCCAAATTTCTCACTTGATCATAATTTTCTTTAAGTTTACCATTATGCTCACTCTGCTGCAAAGCAGAACAATTCCTGTAGTATGCAGCAGGAGAAAATTTCAGGGAAAAAAAATTCTTAAGACTGCTGTTAGGCTAACTGAAATAAAAACTGAAGGCAAGCCAAATTTTAAAGCTTTACCACTTAGCAGTTTGCTGGGCTGCAGTAGTAACACGGTAAACAGCATTGCAGACCTTTAAATTTTTTTAGGGTGAAACAATACTATAATTAGCAAATAATTAAAAATTATTCAGTGTTTCATAGTAGGGTGTTTTTTTTTAAATGCTATAGGATGTACAGATGAATTTCTTTACATATATACAGATGCCCACGATGTTACTATAATTGTCGCTGTCAATATTCTAGCAAAGTTTTGCTGAATACATGTTTGAACTTTGATGCCAGTTTATTTCAAATGAACACTAACTTACAGCTAAACAATTTTCTTCAAGCACTTTTTCAAGCTCTGTGCAGACATGTAAGTTTTTTCCCCAAATACATAAGCACTCTAAAACATGAACAGCTTTATCCTCGTAGTTTAAAGGAAGTCAAACTATCTAGAAGAAAAATCCAGTTTGTCATTTATTTTAAAGAGAAGACCCATTTACTTTTAATACCTAAGCAGCAAACCAATTCAAATAATGTTTTCCCACATTATATTAAAAAAAGTAAAAAACCTGCCAGCCCTTATGCAGCACGTTCATTTAAGACCACTGGCAGGTGATCCTCAACTGTGGTACTAACTGAACATAACAACTTCCTAGTATTTAAGCCACATTCTTTAGGCTAGAAGTAAATGCTACAGATGCTTTTAATTTGAGGCTATACATATTATTATGTTTATGTATTTACCTAATTTCTGGTTAACTTCTGAATTTACTTAAGTATTTTCAGAGGCAGAGAGCATGCTTACCTCACTGGCTAGCTGGGCTTTAAGTAAACCAGAATTTGGGATGTTGGTGTCTCCTGGATGTTAAATAGCTTATTTAACCTGTCCTGACACCTTCTGATTATGGTAGACCTTGTTGAGAGACATCTGAAAGACACTTGCTTAATGGCTGCTCAGAATTTCACCCTTCTGCCATCAGATTTACACATTGAAATGAATGAAATACCCAACTAAGAAGTAATCTCCTTAGAATAAGTTTCTAGGTTTTAATTGTTTCTTCTAAACTTGTATTTTTTAAAAATACAAAAGACAATAGAAGCAATGCCTACCCAGAGGCACAACAGCAGAGATTTCAGTTACAGATGAGTGCTCCACACATATTCCTTGAATCAGGCACCTAATGAGGAAGCCTTGACTCGACAAGTAAGTCAGGTCTAATGACACTACCAGTTCCTTTGTCTGACTGTTTCAATCAAGCCTTCACTCAACTATGATTCGCTCTTCAAATTTATTAAAAAACTTTAAATAAATTAGTAGTACAGATTATACCCACTATCAACAAAGGGTATCTGTCACACATAAGAGATGTAAAAGGCATGACTGGGAGCAATGTGAATTAAGTACATTATTGTTATTTTTTTAACATATTCATGCAAGTTATAAAGCTCATAAACCCAGAGCAAAGATGAAAGCAAGAAAAAAAAGATATGCGCCATATTCAGGTTTCAAAACCCAGTCATTTGTCATATATATTCCCCAAACATCTGAAAGAATGTACAGTCTTTCTTGGTCTAAGAAAACAACAAAAAAAAAGGGGGGACACAATAGGGAGAAGAATGGTTTTAAAATGTACCATCCCCCCCCGCTGGTCTAATCACAGCATAAAGTAGGAGTGTGTGTGGGGAAATCTACAAAATATCCTTCATCTGTCTCTGTGTTCTGAAATGTGTTTGGACACTGCCCTTCATGCTCAACATACAGTACATTTTATACTGGAAATTCTGATTGCACCTTGTATGTATCAGAAGGAATCCACCATTCATTTAACTCACATTAAATTGCATGAAAAGTAAAAAAAACAACAAAGGAACAAACAAACAAAAAACCCTCAAGAAAATAGCGAGACTGTTCATTTTGAAAATCTGAAAGGCACAACTGAGCAAGACATGTAGAAGAGTTTAAACCCTAAAGAATTTTTTCACCCATTCAAGCATGTTTTCAAGTGATAGCTCTGCTTCCCGGTACATATGAGTAAGTACCTCTAGAAGAGCACAGAGGAATGGCACACCAAGGCTCAAGAGTTCATACAAGTAGGTATAGTTATATGCATTGTCCCTGAAATGGAGTTTGGTAGCGTGCAGAAAACCATGCATCCAGTTAGACAGGCGTCTGGGAATGTCAAGCAGATCCCTTGTCACCCGAAGGGGCCAGCTTAGCGTGCCCCTAAAGAAGGAAGTCAGGATACCTGGGGACCTGTCCTCTGGACTGCTAGCAGTAGACAAAGTGCTTTCTGTGGTGGTCTCTGTGTGTTCCTCTTTCTTCCATGCTTCTGTGGCTTCCTTATATAAAGCAGTAAAAAAAAAATGTTAAATATACTTCTAAAAATGGGAAGTCTAATTTCTGTACAGCTTTCAAGTTGTTATATATATTTTTCTTTCCAGTTGCTTTTAAGTTAAACTTTGCTTTGTACAGGAAAAGTTAATTTCCATTGAGAACCAGCCTATAAATATGCCAAATTCACAGAACCAGGAGGTTGTATTTTATTATTGATTTTACTACTTCTGGACATCAGATAGAAAACATCTCTCACATACATGTCCACGAATAAGAACTGCACACTGTTCCAGATAAAGCTGCCACCACCATTTCCTGCATTAGTGATACAACCAATACGTACCTTTCCCTGGAGCTGTAATGTTGCTCTTCTCTTTCTGTGTTTACTGCTGATTTTGCACTGCTTAAAATGAGCTTTACAGTAAAATTTATCTACAAAAGAAAAAAAGAGATCTTTTATTTATACGTATATGGACTGAAAACAGATTGTTCCATCTATAAAACAGATGAAACCAGAATAATTAATGGTTGGGCAGCAAAATGTATGGGAAACTTGCCCCTGTCTCTGAATAGCTCACAGCTCTGGGTTTCTTTTACACTACACAGATTTGCACATTTGTTATGTAAGGCAAGGCCATTTATCTGCCACACAGGTTTAAGATTAGTGAATAGCAGAAAAGCAAACTTGAATAAATACCAAGTCACAAATTAATATAAAACATCAAGCAGCCAGAAGTCAAATAATCAGTTAAAAAAAATCTTTGTAGAAGATTCTCTGGACTGTAAATGAACCACCTTTGGCCATGAGTCTTCTAATCCTCACATGGAAGAAGATGAGGTTAATGCTTAGATCTATTTAACTCATTTGAAAGTGGCAAGAGAATTTGAATTCAGATTAATAATTTCCCGTTAACAAAAAATAAAATAAAATAAAATTAATAATTCCTCATCCCCAAACCCCAGACTGGAGGTGGGATTGAGTGCCTAAAATCTGAACCTCCTGTTCCACAGCAGATTGGAATGAATTACTCTGCTGCTTAGCCAATACCACTGCTTTCGTCTTGAAAGAAATAACTTATATTTGCCCACATCCATGTAAATCTGCCACTATCTTGGCTTATCCTTATAGATCATGTTATTTAGTGGCCAACTGTGAGATACAAGAATCATTCTGTTATTTTTGTAGAAGTATCTCCTTGTTTCACCCCTTGCTTTGACCTCTGATTGGACAAACTGTATCTTGGTCACTCAATTTATCTTCCACTGAGAATTTCTTCATTTAAAGCTCAGGTGTGTCATAACTGGATTATTTTGAAAGACTAGAACTGCAAGTACAAGGACTCAAAGATCAGAATGAATGAAAGCAACATACTTGGCAGACCTCCTCCTGACTGAGCTTCTCAGCCAGGTCTTTTTGCCTAGTTCCATTAAAAGCATCAGAATGTGGACATTTTGAAATATTCTCAAGTAGTTCCTGTATTACCTTCTTCAACATCAAAGGCATAAATTCCTAAACGGAGTGTTGTAGAACATTTTTCACACTTGAAGCACTCCCTATGAAAGAAGTGGCCTTCTGCACTCTGCCGCTCCATAACATATACCCGTTTTTTGCAGAAATAACAAATGTCACTCCCTCCAATAGACTGAGGAAATTCTTTTCGCAGAGATCCCTGTTAAAAGATAAAAATAGAAATGCACATAAAGCTGTTGCATTGCATTCAGACATATTAAGTGGGCAGCTGTCTTAGCTGTTGTAAGTTTTACACAGCCCCCTCCACTCACAATCAAAAAAAAACATAAATCAACTTTTTTATTTGCTGCAATTCTATAGGCTTATGCAGCAATTAAAAAATCAGACATCATGAGGACTCGAAGGGGTGAGTTTTCAGCTGGAATCACAGTCACTGCAGTTCACAGACATTTTGTGTTTACTCAGGTACAAGAGCAGCATCAGCTCTAAATGCTCTTTCACCACCCTGCACTGCGCTGGCGCAAGCTCTCGTGTCTCAGGGCTGTGGCATCGGAGTTCCTCAGAAGAGGGCAAAGGCAGACTTTGCCAGCCTTGAACAATAGGCACGTGTTTGGAACTAAGAAATCAGACACTCCGAAGACTTAGTCTGGACACACTCCAGAGGAAAATATAGCTTCATGCTTTAAAGTTCAGGAAGAAAAACTGACAGTCTTCAAGTCTGGTGTCTGAACTGCTATTTCCATCACTGCAGAAGTGCTTCCCCTCTCAGCCATGTTCTTCTTTAGACCAGGAAAAGCTGGGGCTTGGTTTATTTTAAAAATCAATTTCACAAACATTCATTTTTAAGTAATTGGACTTTAAAATAGGATCCATATTAACAACTTGAAACAATTTTGAAAGTTTTTGTTGCAATTGGGCTTGCAGTTAACATTCCTTTTTTTCATTTTGGACACAAATCTCATCCTTTCTGTATATACATACAAAAGGTGCAGGAAAAGAGGACTATAAATGGATTAGATGCCCCTGGGCTTCCCTCTTCTTATCAGAGGCAGGTACAAGAATGTTACTTTGCATTATTGTATTGTACTAAGTTATGGGTCAGCACAGATGAGCAGCCTATCTCTACCACAGCCTCCATCACCTCCCTCTCCTTCCCTCACCACAGAGGAGGCACCACACATGGGGCAGAGCAGGCACAGGCTTGGTGAAGTCCAGGCACATTCAGACAGGAGCACACAGTCCACACAACTCAGCTTTCGTTTGCCAGGCAGTCTCAGAACAATTTTTTAATGCTAAGTGCAAGTTAAAATTGCCATTGTCGTAAGTCACACTCTGGTGGTTAGAATTTGAGAATCCCATTCCAAATCTGCCGTTAGTGACCCATTTTGCTGTGACGGATCATTTCAGAGGATGAACTACATTAAACTTTCCAAATGGGTGACCAAGCAAATGGAAAAGCAAGCAAATACATTTTTAAAAATGCAGTGTTAATAGAACAGGTCAGATAGTTACAATGAAGTGGAATTGGAGTTTAGTGCTGGCTAATGAGTGTCATCACCACAAGACAAGACCTTACTTCACTTCCCGATACCTGACAGCTCTGAGCAGTGGCGGCAGGAGATTGACAGTGAGGAATGGGGCAGGGACCTGTAGCTCTGTCCAGAGACTGCTTCTGAATTCAACACAGAACAGTGTCAGAATTTAAAAACAGCTCTCTTCAAAATGAGGCATGGTAATTCAGCACTTGTGAGTTAAAAATAACTGCATAAACATGTACTGTACAAAACTTTCTTTAGAAGCCACCCTGATGAATAATTGTCTTCTGTTAATAATTGCAGCAGTAATTACATTTAATAAAACCCTCCTGAAATTTTAATTCATACAGAGAAGTAATAAAACTATAAATAGAAGGCATGGTGAGCAACACTTCCAGCACATGCACACATCAGCATATTTTGCCAATATGTAGTTGATTCCTTAAAAAGTGTTAGTCTAAGACCTTTCATAACGTTTCCAGTGGTCCATAACCAGGGTCTGAAGTTAGGATGACATTCTGGAAACACCACTCTTAAGTTACTGTTTCTTTGTGAGTTTATTCTTACCAGTTCAAGGGGGGGAAGCTGTGGCTTGGGTCTGTGATCATTCACATAGAGATTGACAAGAACTTCAGCCACAGCTCCAATTGCACGTGAGACCTTTCCTACAGTCATCTAACCAGAAATGGGGAGAAGATGAACAACAGAAGGAAGAGATTTAGTTATTCTTGAAAAAGAATTTAATGAGAGAGGACAAGAATGATTTGAAAACATGCAAACAATTATAAAGAGGGGGTAGCAGAAAGAACAGAGGCAAAGTCTAGCAGAGCACAAGCATGTTGATGTGTGATCAGCATGGTCTAGCTGGCAGCCACAGAGAGCTTCCATGAAGCCCACACGCTTCTCCCTGTGGGTGATGAAGAAATGGCTGCTCCCACAGCAAAAGGCTTCCTGCTGTGTCCAGGAAAGGCTGAGCTGGGAGCTACAGGGTGGGACCATTCTGAGAGATTAAAAAAAAACTGCTGTTGTTTACTTTGACTTCTTGGGACTTTTATGTTGTATTTCAGAACAGAGCTGGGGAGTAACCTTCACATTAATGGACCATAAAGCATGGCATTTCAGGAAATATTCTATGCAAATGTACTAGAAGTATTGCACAGAAATGTTTTGTTGATGCTCACAGAGCAACCATTCTCCCCCTCCACAGTGACTCATTTTAATGCCAGGGAAAACTGGAGAAACCACGCTTGTGAAAGGAAGACATCTCCTGTAATCTGCTGCATCACACTGTGGCAGCCATGAATATTAGGCAGCTTCTAACCAAATTTGTCAAATAGACAGGCCTGAAAGGAGACTGCAGACACTGACTGCATAGTCCAGCATCCCTTGCCATAACACAAGCCTGGGGACTAGAAAAGAAGAAAGGTGTGCGTGTACATGTGTGTGAGTGGCTGGCAGACAGACACTCTAGTTCTCTGTGCCTGGAATAAAGTCTGTGAGATATTTTCTAGTGCCACCACACCATGTCTTGCTACCAAAAATGTTTTAAAATATCAGAAAGTTACCAGTAAGAACAAAGAAAAGTATAAATTAAATTGTATTTGTAATACTTTAAAATAATTTCAGAGCATTTTCTATCAAGTTTAAGAAAACAATTATAATCCATTGTAGTTGTGTTTTCAGAAATTATTATAGATAAAAATATTCTTGCTAAAAAAAAAAATATTCAAGTTCAGGAACTTGAGAACATGTCCTGCCCCTTGCAGGTCCCCTTATCTTTTGAGAGTTGTCCCATAATTAACTTAATATCCAAGCAGATACAAAGTATGTACGTTAAGGTGACAAAGACCATTCAGGGGACAAATTTCTGTAGTGTCTCATTTTGATATAAACAGATTTCTAATTATTATTCAATATCTGCAAAACTTGTGGGGTAACAACAGCATAATAAACTATTACATACCATAATGCTATTTTAAGTGTTACATTAAAATACAAACCAATACTAAAAGGGAGATTACTTGCTAATACAGGAAAACTACATTCCTTTGTATTGTTTAAGGTCACTGAAGACAAAACTCTTCTCCCCAAATTCTACACCTCTGAATATGCTGTGCAACTTTAAAGCCACATACAAATTATTAACCATGAGCTCCTAAGTAAGAGAAAGCATTCAAAGTCAGTTGAAGCAGGATGTTTACCTAGTTAAAGGCTGGAGACTCAGTTAAACAATGAGGCTATGCCTAAAATGCAAGTACTTGAATTTCAGGAAAAGAATCCTTGAGCCTGTACTGCACCTTGCAATTCATAAGGTTGGTTGATTTCTGTTCTCCACCCATGGAAGCAATCTGTGTCAACATTAAAGCAGTCAAAACAAGAAAATTGCATGTTTATGCGTACTTTTAAAAACGTCATTAAAAGGAAATGTTCTTGTAATCAATGTGAATTCACATTCCATGTAAAAGCAAATGGTAAGGCAATTTAAGCAGGTGACCAAAAATTGCTGACTGTTCTTGTCACCTAATCAACAAGCACCGACACAAACATTGTTGCTGTTTAATAAGGAGGTATTACTGGGGGAAGATCTCTACTGGCTGTCCCTACCAAATCAGGTATTTGGGTAGTCAAGAGGAGATTGATTTGCTGTAGTGTCAGTGCTGCACCATTCAAATGCCCTTCAATCACAAAATAGAAATACCAGGCAAGACGACACAGCCCCATGGCCACCACCAGCAGAAACCTGCAGAGAACAGGAGTGACAAGGACTGCAAGAGCAGTGCTGCTGTGCAAGGCTTGCATGACAACAGCACAACTGCTGAACAACCCCCTGTGTCTCCTCCAAACCTCACCCTGCTTATGGACAAGGACTTCAATAACACCCTCACTCACTTCATCATGCAAGTGTAATAAACTCCAGTTGCAGTACAGAAGGTCTGACCCCAAATCTACACATCCTCCTTTTTAGAAAACCTGTCAGCACACACATGGCTTAGCTTTGGTCAGCAGAACACAGATTTCTCCCTGCCTGATGCTGCTCATGTAACCCAGAAACTCAGTATATACATAATAAGTTTAATATTTCATTCCTGTACTTACTAACCTTGACGCTACTGGTGTATGTGAAGTCCCACACAGGCCTGCAATTTTGTAGTACTCTCAATATTCACCAGGCTACTGCTCACAATTCAGACAGGTTTGTACCAGTAGCACTACATCTTTTATTGGAAAGCAATCTTGAAGAGTTATCTTACACAGTGAACTGCAGGAAACAACCAAGAAAACACTTAAAAATTCCTTAAGTGTTTGTGATTTTGTAAGACTACTGACTTGTCAATGACATGTTGCCAAAGCTTTTCAGCAGGTTGATCAGGGTGGCTATTAATGTGGGAAGAGAAAGCTGCCATCTGTATTTCCCTGTGCTATTGTTTAGAACACCACAGCCAACCAACAAGTAAGCCTCAGCATTTTTTTCATAAAACAAAGGAAATATGCTCTCTGCCTCCAAAAGCATATATTGCTTCCCCTTTGTTGTTTATATCCTTAATGATTTGCCTAGTCATGCTTTGCCTTGAGGGTGATTTATTTTTTTTGGTACCACCTGCTACCTATATTTTACCTCTGAGATAAATAATATTAAAGTACTAACTGTGTGTAG